AAGAAGCTTACATGTCATGGAGGGGAAGCTATAGTTACTGGTATGGAAGACCATCATGACAAAGATCCCATCCAACCTTTTCAATGTGATCACACTTTGTTTTTTTGCTGCTCTCTGTCTCCAAGCTGCTGCCTCATGACATGTGCTAAAAGAAAAAAATGCAATAAAGCTCCTTCAAAAGTAACAATTATAGGAAATCAATCATTTTAATTATAATATTTCTAGACATATTGCACTGACTGGACTGCAGCTTGAGAGGTTTGAAGCATTAAAAGTTGAATTCTGTAACAACAAAATAAATTGTGTTGTTGATTTCTTGCCAGTTATAAACTCAGGCTTTTACCAGCAAACTGAAAATATGTTTAAAATAAGTCAAGTCTTCATAATAAACACACCAATTGACAGTTTAGTATGACAACTATACATTTATAGGTGTAAATGATACTTGTGTGGCACAGTGGTGCAACGACCCAAAGACCTGTATGTTAGGTTATCAGTGTGTTTTTGTCGGCTATAAATGTGAATGTGGGCATGTGTGTGTCTCTTTGGTTGGCCCTGCCATACCAGCTCTGGTATCTGTATTGGATCGATACTAGCATGTTGGATCAATCTTTTTTTTTTTTACTATCCCCTTAAGTTCAGTAGGTATAACTGAATTGCATTAGATAAAGTTTTTGGAAATGCTGAGGTTTGGGTGTCAGAAGTAGGATAACCTGAAAGGAAGAGCAGAAAGCAGTTTTTTAGGCCATGATTCATGTTTGATCCTCTCCAAATTATACAATCACACCTCACACCCTGTACTTCCACTCACTACCTGTTGTGCCAAAAACTAATTTCCAGTGTTTCCGTGTTTTGTTTTGTTTTTAAAATGCGTAAGTTGTATGTTTGTAAATACACTTTGGTGAACAGGGTTTTATTAGTCCTTTATTTATCCAGGTAAAAAATCTCATTGAGATTAAAAATCTCATTTTCAAGAGAGACCTGGTTTACATAGGGGTTATATATAAAATGTAAAAATGGCCTGTTCTTCTGTATAACTCTGTGTTATTGTATTTACATTGTAACCAATCCGGTCCGTATGTGTCCACTTAAACTATGTTTAGAGAACTATTGTTATATTTGTTGCAGTTTCTGCTGTCCTCTTGGCCAGATTACTCTTAAAAAAGACACTTTTAATGTCAATGCGAGATTATTTTAACTGGATAAATAAAGGATATATAAAAGTCAGTGCCAAAAACTGATTGCGGATTCTACCTTCTTACAGAAATGTTGTTTGTGGCTCAAGATGACTTGATATTATTCGTGAAGGCAATGTTCAGCACAAAGTTACACTGATGCGTGAGGGATACGTTTGACATATGTTTTGCATAGAGCAACAATTTATTTATAGCAGTACAGTAATCAGTTTCTAGTAAATACTGGAAATCAGTTTTTGGCAGACGATCATTTTTTGGTACAACACCGACAGACTCGAGCGTCAGCTCAGACTAACCCACACATGCAGTAAAAAACGGACAAAAAATGGACAAAAGTAATTGTTTCCGTATGTAAGTGTGCTTCTCTTTTTTTTTCATAATGTTGGCAAATACCGCCCCGCCCACAACCCCCTTCTCCCTAAGATGATGGTACGGTCCAAAATGTGTTTATGTGGGTTTTTTTTTTTTTTTTTTTAGCCTACAAACAAACGCATCTTTTTCCGTGCGCTGGTCCAAAATGCGGAGTCTTGTGAATTGGCGTGTGTTTATAACCTTTTTGGTTGTTTTTTACCAACAAAATGTTGTCGGAGTAAAAATGATCGGAGGGTTGACCGAGGAGAAGCAGGCTGATGAAGCAGTTCAAAAGATCTGTGATGCAGTGAGTAGAAAAGTGAGATTTGACACTCGCACACACGGGGCCTGTGCTTCATGTTGGTGTTGCTGTTATTGTTCTTCAGATGAAGCCTCTCGCAGAGCAGAAAACCGGGAGAAACTTCGAGGTTTTCACTGCAGAGAGCTACAAAACGCAGCTCGTAGCTGGGACCAACTACTTCATTAAGGTAATGTTTGTAATTCAAGCGTTTATGTGTTAATTTATATGGAGGTTCATACGAAACTTAAACTGTTATGGTTAAAACTGTCACAGCCATAACAGAGCTCAAAAAATGTTTTGTTTGTGAACACTAGTGCCATCATGCACTATGTAGCCAAAGAAGTGGATGCCCCTTTTCCACATTGTAAGATAGTTTATTTACTTTCCAGCTCTTTAAAACTTCGCAGCAAAATGTTGAGGAAAAGCACCGAGTTTTTTAAATGGACTAACAATGAGGTGGAGTTATTGCTGCGAGTAACACAAAAGTACAAAGTTGCAAAAGCGAGTGAGAATGAAAGAATTTGAAGAAAAGCTATCTGGAGCATGTACGAACTGATATTAATCTTTAATAGGGCTGTCAAAATTGATAGCAAACAAAACTACTGCTGTGTAATGCCCTCCGTCATCTTAGTTTGTGAACACTAGAAACATTGTGCACTCTATATAGATGAAGACGTGGATTCTCCTTTTCACATGTTAGCATGTTGTTTGGCCCACAGCTGTGGCTTACATTACCACAGCTGTGATAAAATGATCAGGAGTACTTCTATGTGTACATGTGTACATTAAGCATCTCCTTTAAGTTTCCTTGTATTTCCTTGCAGGTCAATGTGGGAGGAGGCGAATATGTTCACCTTCGTGTTTACAAGAAACTCCCGGCTTATGGAGGAACGCTCCAGCTGACCAGACTGCAGCACCCCAAGAGTCAACATGATACTATTGCGTACTTCTAATGGAAGAACGAACCAGCCAAAGCATCAGTGCCCACAGTAGTGTCATTGTAATTCATTAATAACCTCCCTCTTCATGAGGGGAAAGCTTTCCTTGTTTCCATATAATAACATATTGCAGATAATGGAAATAAGACTAGATCAGTTAAATACGAGGTGGGTAAATAAATAAAGCAGAATTTTTTTTGTGTGTGTGTGTAATTGTAAGATACATTCTGTGGTCATAGGGGCTATTTTTTTTAAAGTATGTGATTGGTTGGGGAATTGAACTGCCTCACAATTCACCACTTATGTGACTCACTTCAGAGATGCCATCAAGGATAACCAGCGCAGTTTCAAAGAAACAAATAAAACATCTACTTTTGTCCATAGTGAAACAGATAATACGTTTGAAATAAACATGCTTTAAAAAGAGCTGTAAAATAGTGAGACTGTCATGGTGAATTGGGTTGAAGGACTCAGGTGCGAGACTTCTTGCAGAGTGACAGTGAATTTATTCACAGTGAAAAAAATAAGGCAACAGTTCGAGTCTGTAATCCAAAAAGGCAGTGCAGTGATACGGTGACTTCTACCCGCGGTGACAGTGCAGTGATTATCCAAAACTACTTGTTCTCGTGCCCGCTCCTCCTCCGATCCCTGGATCCTGGAGGCAGATGAGAAAAACACACGCACGGTAACTTAAACGTTCTCTCTCCTTCACAAACTAGGTACGCTAATCGCGACTACGCTACCCGGTTTAGCTCAACGTTCGAGCGTTGGTTGTGACCCGACCGCACTGGTAAATAGGTCTGCTTCGGATTAGTAACAGCCGGCGAAGTGATTAAGCACAGGTGCGGCGATTCCAGCTCAGGATGCTCCCCTCGGGTCAGCTGCCGTTCCGTGCCATGGCTTCCGGAAGTACATGTTCCCGGATACAAACACGCGCACAGGATGGAGAGGAGAACACCACAAAGTACACACAAACACAACAAAAATTGGCAAGGCGACCGGTGAAGACAGTCTAGCCGTGGCAGAGACATCTATAGTCTGTGCTGTAACCCAGCAGTATTGAGACATCGCTCTGGCAGTGTGTTTGGGATCATCGTTTCACTGAAAAACGAAGCCATCTGGTTGTCGTAAAGGGGTTTTCTCATGACCATGGAAATGATTCTGCGATCATCCACCCCGGTTGTCTTTCTTTGACATTCAGATCTTTTTTGCATTGCTGATTTCACCAATCCTTTGTTTCTTTCTCAGGATAGAATAGAATTCAACTTTATTGTCATTGCACATGCATGGGTACAGGGCAACGAAATGCAGTTTGCATCCATCCAGAAGTGCTTTAGTGATATAGATATATTACAATATATATTAGCAATAATATAGATATGT